TTCAATGCGGACTTGAGGTCCGCGTTTTGGCTGTGGAACGTGTCATTGAGGGTCGCGTTCAGCCTGGCTTTCGCGAGGCTCATGTTTGAGCACATAAACGCGAGACTCGCGTTCTACTGTAGAAACGCGAAGCTCAGGGTCGTGTTGAGGCTCACAAACGCGAAGTTCACGTTGGTTGGTTGATCTGCTTTCTCTAAGCTATGCTAGTCGTAGGGATCTCCTCCTATGTCGAGCAGCGTTCTTCCTCGCCTGTTTTGAGGTTTTTACAGTGATGTCACCATATGTATTGATCAGGTTAGTCGAAGCAATAGACCTTTTATGATCCAATACTTTTTGTTTAGGCACGGGTGTAGGTCACTAACTCGGTTGACGAGTATAGTTGAAACCAGGTCTTCTCCTTCTAAGGAAGGACTATATGAACAGTATGATCCAAAGGAGAAACGCTCCTTTGGTGAGTCAACAGTATGAAGAACCTTAGTCTCTTTGGAGATTTTACGGATCTTGCTCATAGCTTTGGGGCTAAGGGATTTGGAGGAGGAAAAACTCCTCATACTTGGTCAAACTCAATGGTCAGAGTTTTGACAGTAGTTCTCATGAGTTTGGTATCAGATTGTGTCACCACCTCTTCATCGGTGAAAAAGCTAGTCCCTAACAGAGTCGTTATCTTTTATTTGTGGGAAAAATTATAAGAAAATTAAGAAAAAAATTTGTTTTAATCTCTCTAACTGACTTAGAAAAAGAATGAATACAATCTCTCCAAATAACTTCTCTCTAACCGACTAAAAAAGAAATTATAATTTTTTATCGGTTTCCTGATTTATAAAAGAGAGAAGGATGGATCCCCTTCTTTGTTTAAGGTTGTGTTCTTCTTGGTGACGATGAGAGTTTGATTCTTGTATCCCGTTAACGATCCAAACGTCTCACTTCATGAAATTTTGTCTACTCTTCTTGACTTAACATCAGGAAGAACTTGCCAGACAAGTTTAGAACTCTAAACGAGTTTAAGAACTCTGTGAAAGAGTTAATTTCAGAAAAGAAATTTAATTCTTTTTCAACTGAAATAAGGTAAACAACTGATTTCAAAGTTCTTCAACCGAAAATAGTTTAAAAAAGTCAAGCCAAATGATCTCCAAAGCTTCAACAAAAGCCAACCATCCAAGATAATATCCAAAAGGATCTGTATTCCGCTGAATTTTCAGCTATTTATAGAGATCTAGGGGTGTAGCTGACCCCATAAATCTCTCCATAATTGGGGTTTAATGGCCCCATTATGTGGAAAACGGTTTTGAACCGTTCAAATTACCATTGAAACGATCAAACGCGAGATTCACGTTCTGGAGCGAGCCTCGCGTTCAGCTTTGTGAAATGCGTAGGTGATCCTCGCGTTTAGGAGTTGGAATGCGGGGGTGACCCTCGCGTTTTGGAATTGGAACGCGGGGGTGGACCCCCGCGTTTTGGAGTTGAAGAGATCGTTAATTATAATCTCTTTTTTAAGTTCTGCAAAGATCGTTGTTTTTTAATCTTTGTATTTAGCTTTTTGAAGTATGAGAGTCATCAAATTGTAACTCTCGTCTGTTGTTGTGAAAGTCGTTAGTTTGTAACTTTCATCGTTAGCGTTTTGTGAGGATCAACTATCTGCAGTAATTTTTTGACAGCCTGCACCAATGGATAGAAAACTTGGATTTTCGCAGATATATCTTCCGCTGTAGAAAATTACATTATCTGTTGTAAGATTTTGAATATCATCTCCACAAAAGAATTAGGAGCTCAGATGCTATACTATTTGTAGTTTCACTACTAGCAGCCTGTTTCAGCACATAATATTCAGTCTCAGTGAACTAACTAGACTTTTAATATACATCCAATTTCAGGACACATAGTTTTCTTTGTTTATCTCTCATCCAGACAGGTCTGGATTGTCAAAAGCAGAAACCAACTTTCTAGGAGAACTAAGTTCAAATTTCCTCTTTGTTTTTACTCTAGCCTTAAATATAAAAGCTAGAAACAAAACATGATTTGATAAAAATATCCACGTTGAAATTAAAGCTAGAAACCTACTTTCTGGGAGAAATAAGTTCAAATTTCCTCTTTGTTTTTACTATAGCCTTAAATATTAAAGCTAGAAACAAAACATGATTTGATAAAAATATTCATGTTGAAATTAAAGATGACAGTTTCCTCCAGGAGCTCATCATCAACATCATTAAAGTTCTTGATGCTGTCACTCTATCTTACCCGGGTACTTTTATCCGAGTACCATACACGCACCCTACCTGTACTCGTACCCGAACTCCGTAGACACTCATTGTATGTAGGCATACATTTGTTCGGACATCTACTCAACTATACATGTTTTAATTAATTTAAAAAACTTGTCATACATTTTCCGGACATATAACCTACTCTTCCACTTCTTGAAACTTGTTGAACATAGGCTAGGTTCTGAACTATGATTTTAAATGGTCATTTGGATGTCTAGTTCAAAAACTAGTGAATTTCTAATTTATAAACACATAATAAAAGAAACATAAAAATGTTATAGGGATTTGGATTCCCATAACGTGAATGAAAACAATATTGATCTAATGCAACTTATTAATTCTAATATATAATATGTATATGTGAATGTGAATATTTATATAGCCATATTTGGAGATCCACCGCGTCCCGGTAGCGGTACCTGTAACCATGCAACATAAATGTCCTATAGGTGAGGTTCAAATCCATATACTCTCCTGAGTTAGATATAGAGCAAAGTTACTTGAACCTGTGGGTACCTGAAAGTTTATTTCCTTTCGCTCAAGTCACTAATCATGTTCGACATAATATGAAGGTGTTGCCTCATTGAATGATCATAGTGTTTCCTTAAGTTGTCAAACTTAGAGTTAGCTGATAATGTCTAATAGTGGATGCCCAATATCATACCTCAGTCCAAGAAAAATAATATCATTAATCAATCTTAAATTGAGGCACGCAATAGTTGGCCTCAAATTAGTTTAACTCCTCATACATTAATTAATATTGTCAACATCATAGATAAGAAAATTTTGACATTACATTCCAATTGCAAGACATATACAAGTATAATCTTAACTCCTACACTATTTAATGTTGTCAACGTATCCAACTTTGTTTTTTTGATGCCTGTATACTGCCTGCTGATTTGAACTCCAACACTATGCTAGTTTGGGTCAAAGGTCTACATATAAATTGCATGGGAAGCAGTATTGTGCTTGAGTCTCCTATCTGGTTCAAGCATCCTGTTTGTTAAAGAACAATTTAGGCACAGCGAAAAAAGGAGAACCTATGAGAAACTTTGAGCAGCCTAGTGATGCGCTGGGCATCCGTCTCTTGCATGACCCCACCTAGACTGGTACACAAAACTGCATCCTATAAATCATCGATGTCTAATACATTTCCATTCTGAACATATATTTTAGTTTGTGAATAGACTGGTCAACGTTGTTTAGTTGTATTTTTCAAGCATTCCATTGGTAATTGTAAGATGATTGGTCAAATCGACCCCCTTATGTTTACAAAATGACCATTCTCGCCATTTTTGCTAGCATTTCAGGGCTCTGTGCTAATCCTCAGAAAACTAACCTCTACTATCTTGGCAAAATCCCCCATAAAGGCAACTTGTTGGCTGAGATACTTAACTGTTCTGTTGGTTCCCTCCCTTTTTCTTACCTGGGCCTCCCCCTCAAAAGAGGTTCTTTATCAAAAAGAGAGTGACAACCTCTCTTAGAATCATTCAAAAAGAAGCTCTCTTTATGGAAAAATAAAACTCTCTCTATTGGTGGTAGGTTAACTCTCCTGAACTCTGTCCTCTCCTCCATCCCTCTCTACTATATGTCATTCTTTAAGCTGCCGATATGGGTTATTAAGGCCAAAGATAAAATCAGAAGAAATTTCCTCTGGAAATGCAGTCTCAGCTATTCAAAAACCAAATGTCTCATCAACTGGGGGACTGTCTGTAAGTCTAAGGCAGAAGGAGGGCTTAGGGTTATTGATATCCCCTCTTTCAATTCAGCACTCCTCTCCAAATAGATTTGGAAAATATTCGACAGATCCTCATTTCTCAACAAAGTGATATTCTCCGTTTATTCCAAAAATGGAGCCAACCCCCTTGCTCATCAACCAAAGATGCCGTCTTCAAGATTCATACAAGATTTATTCTCCTTTCAATCCACTTTCTTTAATCTTGTCAGATGGAATGTTGGAGATGGCAAAACTGGCAGTTTTTGGCATGACAAATGGTCTTCAGCAAATACTCTTAGCAGTCTCTTCCCTAACGCATACAAGCTAGCCCTCTCAAAAAACTACATCAATGGTTCCCAAGGTAGATTGATCAATAATTCATGGTTTTGGCACCCCCTAATTAGAAGGGGGTATTTCCCCTAATGAAAGGGCAGACATTCTCCATCTTCACTCTTTCTTAGAGCATATTAATCCAGGTGGCCCATCTGAGCTGGATGACTTATGGTGGCCTCTTCATTCATCGGGCATTTTCACTGTAAAATCCTTTTACTCCTTTGTTACTTCAGGGGGTATTAAATCCCAGTTCTACAACACGATTTAAAAATCCAACATTCCCTTAAAGGTAAAAGTCCATCTCTGGATTATTTCTAAAAAGAAGCTGAACACAAAGGATAATTTGATCAAAAAAGGATGGAACGGTGACCCTAGTTGCCCATTCTGTCATCGAGAAACAGAAACCCACGATCACTTATTTATCCATTGCTCATTTGCTCGCGCTGTATGGAACTCCCTTCTCCCCATCTTTCCATCTAACATCTGGCCTACGACCACGGATGAGTTGTTTCTTCTTCATAAAGTTCCTAATATTTGCTCAGATACTAAAGCTATATGGAAGATCCTGTTGCCATGTGTTTGTTGGTGGATCTGGTTCTGTAGAAATTCTCTAATTTTCAAGGATATTCAGCCTATCCTGCTTCTCACTGCTTCTAACATTGCGAGATATTCTATATTCTGGTCAGGTACAGAAGATGACAGGATGGGTAGGAGGCTTTGTAGGGCATCCTTCAACCTCGGCTTCTAGGAACTAGCCAAGAAGAACGCCCCTGATGATGCTGGGGACAATTTCTCAAGCAATTAAGCCCTTGCGACTCTCTTCTCTGCAGGAAGTAGAATCATTACGTGAAGATGTTTCTTTTTGGTTAAGATGCTAGCTGCGTTTAGCATAGTAACAGTTTTTAGTCGTAGTCTTTAACCTGATACAATCCTCTCTATGTATTGTTGTATTACCTTTTGGTTTTTATTTTTCTCTAGCTGCAGGAATGTAGTAGGTCTAGTGTGGTAGGTGACGACAATGGTCCGCTCCTTACTCACTTCTCCCACTGTGTTTTCTCCACCTAGAGCTGATGTATATTCCTCTTCTAACTTTTTCTATATATTTAAATGAACAGGGCACCTCACCCTGTTTCTCAGGCTCAAAAAAAAAATTGTTTACAAAATGACACAGTTTTGGTCTATTAATGCAAATGCAAATTTGTGTGCACAAGGTACAAGGGCAATGTCCATAATGGTGAAAATATGAAGCTGTCTGTAGCTTTTATACGGTTCATGCCTATTTGCTAACAAATTGTGGAACGCAGTGATAAGATGATTTTATTTGGGATTAATTGCAGATAGCCAGATGCACCTTCAGGGTTTAGCCACTTATTATCCGTAAAATTTCCATTCAGCTATTAGACCCTGGATGTCTAAACGGAGTTATCTCTCCGCTTTGGTATTTTATACTATAAAGGGTGTATGCTCATCATAGAATAGGCGGGCTTTCTGCAATACACTGAAATATTCAGAGGATCTCCTTGCAATAAATTGACATCACATGACAGGTACAAAAAATTTAGGGGTAATAAGTATTCATTCTTGGCTTCCAAAGAGGACTATTCTCTTAATGACAATTTATATCTTTATGCCTACTGAATCCATGTTTTTAAATATTTGTTTTCAGTTAAAATGATCTTTGTGCACTGTCCTGTCAATTGGGTGAGATGGACTCAGTTGACCAATTGTTCAACTCCTCAGCTATCAAATTTCAGTAGCAATCAGGTGTGTGATTTCTTTGCATGATATATCACCTTCTCTTGTTTGCTTATGTAAAATTGTCCTTTCTTGATAGATATGTATATTTAATTGCTTGATAAGTATCTCTTAATCCTTCTTTCAAATTTGAAGTTTCTTATCTAAAGTACGAATGCACAATACTTGTTTCCTGTACTCGAATCTGGAAATGTAATGACATTGACGCATGACGGTCTTGGGAGCAATATGATTTAATTATTGAAGCATATTTCATAACCATAGCTATTTTATACGAATGTCTCTTTTGAGTACTGCATGAATGATCAATAACTACTTCTAGTAACATTTATATTTATTGGCTGCAAATCCATGTTCTTCCGAAGAGATGTTCAAACTTGTATGTAGAAACGTTTCACAATGAGGGTAAATTTAGTAATATCTTTTTCTTTCCTCTATCTGTTTGTCCAAAGGGTACCACGGGAAGTATTAATTTGATTATATCTTTTTAGTATTAATGTGATGTACAATTGATCAGTGAGAGCTAAAGACAAGCAATCCAGCAGTGTACGTGGTGGTCACTAACTGCTTGAAAATGTTGGATAGCAATACGCGTGTTTTGTCCACGATTTCTATGACGGTGCTCTTCGACCCCTGTAGAGTCATAAAATTGCATGTTTCTAAAATCATCTGTTCACATCTACAGAACAAAGAAAAATAATGTGCAGCATATTTCCTTATCATGGTCTACTTTGTTAGCAGATGATTTTAGAAATCAGACCATGATTTTGATCGATCGTTGAGGGGGACTGAGAGCGACGCACAAAGAAAGGATCGTGTACGTTCGATTCTTTGTAATCTCTCTCTCTCTCTCTCTCTCTCTCTCTCTCATGTGTTACAAAGGATAGGAGTTAAGCTCGGCTGCTAGTAATGGTTTATTGTTTAACTGGCTATAATTATTGCCGGAATAAAATTCCTTAGACCCTAAGGCAATGTTTCGTTGTCCTATATATTGCTTTATCATTGGCAAGGCTCTGTATCATTTTGTTTGTAGTTTGTAATCCATTGGTTTGACTTTGACGTGCTTGGTTTTCCCCCTCAAATTAAGATTCGGTGCCTTCTCATTATACACCTGCACTTCCTTCAGCATTAGAAATCTAACCTTTGATTTACAGTAGAAAATAATTTTTTGATTTCCACTTGGTCTTGGTCCTGGTCTGATTTCTCGGACCTCCTGTTATTATATGTTGGCTTTCAACTACTTACATAGAGATGAATAAGTGCAAGCCATACTATTGTTTGAAGGGTTAATATGAAATTACCCCCCTGTAGGGATGTCAATTTTGGCCCATACCCATTTACCCACCTGACCCGCCCATCATTTGGCCCGCCTAACGCCCACCCATTTAATTAAATGGGTCTAATTGGGCGGGTTCATTTTACATTTTTCTAAATGGGCGCTAAATGGGCAGTGTTTATTCGCCCGTTTGCCCGCCCACGATATTCCCAAAACCAAAACAAAAGAAACCCGATCCTAAATTCCCAATCTCCTCTTTCTCCTCCGCCTCAATCGGTCAATCCCAATCTCCTCCGCCTCAATCCCGATCCCAATCTCCTCCGCCTCCTCCTCCGCCTTGTAATCTTTTGTTCTTCATAATCTAGAGAAGGTAATTTCCTTCGCCAAACTGAATTGTTCTTGTGTTTTGGTCGTCCTCTTCTCAACCCACCTTTTGGTAATTCCGCGACCAAAGGTGCTCGCACGGCAACTCGTATCAGGGACGGCTCGGCCGCGGCGGATTACCTCCCGTTTGAGTTCAGGTTGGAGAAAAGAAAAGGAAAAATTGAAAGAAAAAAAAACCCACCAGTTTCCTAATTTATCCAAATTAGTCCCTGAAATCTCGGCATCAAATCTCATCAAGAAAAAAAGGAAAAATTGAAAAGAAAAAAAAAGGAAAAATTGAAAAGAAAAAAAAACCCACCAGTTTCCTAATTTATCCAAATTAGTCCCTGAAATTTCGGCATCAAATCTCATCAAGGTTATATCTTTTTTCGGCCGTTGAATTCTCCGTCTTCCGCTGATTCGATTGACCCACGAATTTGTAGACTTCGTGTTGGTTTAGAATGGTGGCGGGAGCTGAGATTATCCGTCAGAGCTTGACTGTGGCCGTCGACGCGGCTTGTTCGGCGGTGGTTCCGTCGGTGGCGATGGAATCTGGAGCGGTTGCGGTGGAGCTGGTGAGGTTCTTGGATCTTGATTGTAATTTTCTTTATCTAGTGCTTGTTTAGTTTATGATGAGACTATGTTTTTTCCTTTTTGAGGTAATGGATGGAATCTTGAGGATAAAAACTTTTCTTTTTCTTTTATAATTGTTTTTGACTAAGAGGTTATTCATACCGGGCATCATTAATAGAAAAGAGTGAAAATTAGTACAAGATGAATCTAACATATTTATGTGCATAGTGATCTTGTTAAGGTTGGGTCATCTCTTCTGAGTCTTTTTGCAGGATCCATCTTGTACGCCAACTTGTAAACCCAAACAAATTCCCTCGACTTTTTTTATGATACCTCCCAAACATAGAAATGTCTCCTGCGAAAATACTAGTTGCATGCGCACGACAAGAGGCCCAAGGCATGTGGCAAAGTGTTAAATAGTCTCCGGTATCATTTCGCAAGTAGTTTCAAGATTGCATAGGACAGATGTTAATAATATTGAGGAACATAAACCTTGTCGGAATATCCCGCTTGCCAAACCATACAAGGGGCAATTCGAGTCTTTGAACCGCACCCCTGCCCCCCCCCTAGACTCGTCACTATGTAGGATGTTCTGATGAAATTTGTGCTCAATAATGAGGCCGTTAAAGCTTTTTGGAGAGCAGACATGGCCCAAATTAACCAAGTAAACTCCTCTCGAGGTTAGAGGATGTGAAGGCAGTCACGACTAAGACCTAGCGGTGCAGTTCGCATGAGCGGTGCTAGAGCCGCTAGGCGCTCTCAAGACGCAGAGCCTAGGGGCCTACATCACCTAGGCCTAGGTGGAAGCTTTTTATAAAACGTTGGCATCGATTACACATTCTAGGAGCTAGTAGGAGTATAGAACATAAAGTGCAACAACATGGATGTGAAAAACGATTTGACTCAGGCTTAATGACATTTTTTGAATAACAGAAATAAAAAGAGCATGACTGGTTGAAGTTTCATTATTAGTTAATTTTTGTAGACCAAGAAACTAAAATTCTATAAACTAGGAATTGAGGATTGGAATAAAGAGGGAGTATCGGAGTTGACAAATGCATTTGGGGTATTAGATGGAATCGTGAAACGTTTTTTTTTTGCCAACTTAATCTGCTTCATCTTTTCCGTTAAAAATATTAAACCTGCTACTTTTAGATCTATCTAGAGGAGAATGTTTTAAACACTTAATCTCGACTTTTCTTGGTTCTTTCCTATTCAGAATCTGAGGGCTCCAGCTGCTATTCCTGAAACTCCTATTTCACCGGAAATTCTTGAATTCGTTCCCAGCCTCTGTTCTGGTAGCTTCAGTGACATCGGGATGAGGAGGGATATGGAATATGAGCATATCTGTATTGATGATCTTTTTCTATTCATCAAGTCTCAGTGTAGGTGTTGCATACCTTCTTCTTTTATGGGGTAAGTTCTTGCTGTTGTTAAAGAATTACAAAATTGCTAATTATCCAGTTGCTGCGTATTGCACTTTGCCGTTTCTGATATTTTTTAATCTTTGTAGGTATTTGATGGCCATAGTTGTTCTGATGCAGCATCATACATCAGGAGGCATGCCCTCAGGTTTTTCTTTGAAGAATCCACACTCCCTCAAGCATCCAAATATGACCCTATATTCCTACTTGAGATCAAAAACTCTATTCGGAGATCATTTCTGCAAGTAGACCTTGCTCTGGCTGATGAATGCACAGTGAGCAGCTCCTGTGGGAGTACGACACTTATTGCATTGGTGCTCGGAAGGTACTTCATTCCATAATTTTGTCCTAGTGGTTTCCTATATGTAGCTGATTCTCAGTTTGATTGAAATATTATGTTAGTGAACCTTTTGCACTTTTTCTGAACAATTGGTTTGATGGTCTTGATTTATTTCAGCATGTTTGTAAACCGAATGGGACTGAATTTATTCCAGGAAATAAAGGATATCTTGAGAATTGTTGAATCTGGTCATGATTGTGATTTGATTTACGTGGTAGTGTTCTTAGCTTGATTATGCGTCATTAAGGATGTCAAACTATGAGTATATGTGGTTCCTTTCTTTGTTTTTGAATCTTTGTTTTCATAATTTGAGAAAGTACGTAAACACTTCAGATCCTGAATATTCCAGTATATACGATAGCATGTGCAAGCCCGTGTGCAAATCAAACTCCTATCACAATCCTGATAATACAATCCATTACCGTTTCTCTGATCTTGTTTCTTTCTTAACAATCAGGGTTCTCTTGGTAGCCAATGTTGGTGACTGCAGAGCGGTCATCTGCCGCGGAGGTAAAGTCATCAACATGTCTCATGACCACCGTGGCTCAGTCCATGCTGCAGAGCGTCTGAGGGTCGAAAAACCTGGCGGCTACATTGATGATTGGTACCTAAATGGAGTCCAATCTGTAACTTGAGCTCTAGGCAATTGGGACATGAAGATCCCAACCTCAGCTACCGGTTTGCCCTCTCCACTCATCGCGGAGCCTGAGTTCAGGCAAGCTCTCATCACACAGGATGACAAATTCTTGATCATTGGATGCGATGGTATTTGTGACGTTATGTCGGGCCAGCACGTGGTAAATGTGGTCCGGCGGGGTCTGCGACCCCGAAAGGTGTGCGAGGGAGCTTGTCATGGAGGCATTGAGGTTGAAAACCGTCAATAGTGTTACTGTGATTGTGGTGTGCTTCTTGGCAGAGCAGAGGGAGGAGGAGGCCGAGGTTGAGGTGTTGTAGTTTGTCTGGAATTGGTTGGATAATGATGTTGGTAACTAGTGAGGAGTAATGTATATTTGCTTTTTGTAATGGGTGCCTTCAGTCTTCTGTATGAGCTGGAGATCAGTCAACAGTTTTGTAGGGTTGCCTTTTCTGTTTGGGGCTTTACTCGTACTGTATGTATTATTTGTCGAGGATGATTGATGAGCGCGTGTTATTATGCAACGAGATCTTGGTTCCTTTTCACTTTCTACCCCTCGCTGGAAGCTTATTATATATCATCAGATTTCCCACAAACGAATGTCATCTGAAGCTGCTGATCTCATCTCCAGGCTTCTTCAGTACTTATCTCAATCTTCGCTGCATTGTATTGAGTAAATATTTTCACATCCTTCTGCTTTCCTGATAAGTTCTTTGTGTATTTAGCTAATCTTTAGTCCCCTGGTTCCCAAAGATCGCATCTTGCTATCTAGTGTTTCATTATTATGACAATATCATACGTTTGTGACAAACTTAACTAATTCTATGGATGATTGATGCAGGAGAAATATTGAGGTCTCTATGGTGATTTCGGATTCTAACCCTTGCTATGAAGACGCACATATGAGGCTTGCTGCAGTACTTTTAATGTTGCTATTGAGTCCAACTGAGTGTTATGTTTGTTTCCTGTTCTTTTCTTTCTTGTCATGATCATGTTCATGCCTGAACATTTGAAAGATGGGAAATAAGTGGACTATGGTTGTGCTACTATTTTGTTTGCGAAAAATGCTTTCAGCCCCCAAATTAACAAATATGCTTCCCCCTACCCAAGACTTTTTCAACGCCTCAAAAACCCCAAATCGTAATAACTATGCTCTGAGCCCCCAAACACAAAGCCAAGAATTTTACACAGCGTAAAGACTATAATACTCATTCTCTCTCTCTAATATTATATTCGTAATAACCATACAATCTCTCCTCTCTCCCTCTCCTTACCCACCATTTTTGCCCTGCTCCTCCGTCCCTTTCTGCAATCCTTTCTGTGGGGCGAAGCTCTCTCGGCGCGCCGGGGGCCCGGGGGGGCGCGGGGGCGGCCGCTCTCACGCCACGACCTCGGCTCTAGCTCGCCTTGAGATCTCCGTGTCCACCGCTTTGATCCCAACGCCGGGTCGCTCGAACCCCTCGCCTTGCCGCCGAGAATATTTCATGAAGCTCAGACCTCAACCTTAACCTGTCCTGCAGTCTGCGGCCTCGGTCCAGCCACGCACGAGTTTTCTCTGTAACTATTGCAGACAGCCCACTTTTTACATGTCAGCTCTTGGAGGACACCAGATGCCGACACAAGGTGCAGAGCGCAACCTAGCGGAAACAAGAGCAGAGAGAGGGTAATGATGAATTTGACTCGAGATGACACGTGGCGAACTTGATGTATTCTTTGTAGTGCTTTCTGAAGCTAATGCATCAGACTTTACTAGCAGACAAGTTTCTTCCTGTCACATGTTTTCTTTTGGATCTTTTTCTATTTTTTATTTTCCCCTTCAAAATAAGATTTTCCTGTCGAAAAAGAATGCCTCTTCTCTCTCATTAACGGTATTTTCTTTCTTCACCGCTTTAATATACATGTACCCAATGATAGTTATCTTTCTATTTGCCAGATAAGTTACGGTTGTTAAAGGTTACGGGGTTGTAAAGATGTACGGGTTGCTTTAAGGTTTAACGTGTTGCTTGTAAGGTTACGGTTTGCCTTGTTAAGGTTATGCGTGTTGATTGTGAAGCATTAAAGCTTAACAACCGAACCGTTAACCTTAACAACCAACCTGTAATCTTAACAATCAACGCGTAACATTTCATAACAACCGCTTAACCTTAACAAGCAAACCGCGTAACCTTCACAAGCAACTACGTAAAACCTTCATAAAAATAAAAAAAAGAAGGAAATAGAAAAAAAAAAAAGCTTTAATTTTTCTGTACTTCTACTATAATAATTTCATAACTTCATAAAATAAAAAGCGAGAACAATTTCTATACCTTTCTTCAGAAAACTCATGTCTTACAGACCACATAAAACTGTGCAATGTATGATTACTTTCATTGTACCACTCAACACTCACGAGGAGGTGACTGCCATGTTTTGAGACCGGTTGACAGGTAGAGCAGGAAGACGATGATGCATGACATTTGTTTTAGCTAGTGGGACTGTGAGCTAGATTTTGTAATAATATTTCACTTTTAACTTTTAATGAATTCAAACGCAAACGATTTTATGTGTTGGTGTTAAAGTTACACGGTTGTCTTGTTAAGGTTACACGTGCAATTGTTAGGCTATACGTGTTGGTTGATTGTGTTAAAGTGTATACGCGTTGCGTTGTTAGTTTCGGTTGGCCTCGGTTAAGTTTCGGTTGTGTTAATGGTTCGGGGCTTGCTTGTTAAGGTTACGCCTGGTTGGTTGTGTAAGTTACGAATTTTATCAAAAGCCAAACGCATTACGTGTTGGTTGTTAAAGGTTACAGGTATGCTTGTTAAGCGTTATACGTGCGTTGCTTAACGTCACGTGTCTGCATTGTTAAAGTTATACGCGTTGGTTGTTAAGGTTTTGGGTTGCTTGTTAAGGTTACACGTTGGTTGTTAATGTTACGGATTACTTGTTAAGGTTACGGTTAATCTTAACAACCAACGCGTAACTTTAACAAGCAACCCGTATACATTAACAAGCAACCCGAAACCTTAACAACCAACACATATAACCTTAACAAGCAACGCGTATAACCTTAACAACCAACACGTAACCTTAACAAGCAACGCGTATAACCTTAACAACCAACACGTAACCTTAACAAGCAACGCGTATAACCTTAACAACCAACACGTAACCTTAACAAGCAACGCGTATAACCTTAACAACCACGGTAAATTTCCCTGCAGAAAAAGATGAATGAAGTATTTAACACACACGCACAAGTTGTATGAAAAGACATAAAGTACAATAATTTCCAAGAACGACAGCACTATAGATGGTGGGGGATGATGGACCTGAGGGATGGAGAGGGGGGTTTGATGTGGCGTCTGGGGGAGGAGGGATTGGGTTGGGAACAGAGGCGAGGGGTCGAGCGGAGGCCGCGCTGGGATCGGCGGTGGACACGGAGGATCTCGGCGAGCGGAGGCGAGGGGTCGAGGCGTGAGACCGGAGAGGAGCTTCGGCCGCCACGAGGGTTGCAGAAGGGACGGAGGGGGCTAGGGCAAAAATGGTGGGGGAAGGAGGAGGGAGAGAGGAGGGATTATATGGTTATTACGAATATAATATTAGAGAGAGAGAATGGGTATTATAGTCTTTACCTGTGTAAAATTCTTGGGCTTTGTGTTTTGGGGGCTCAGAGCATAGTTATTACGAATTTGGGGTTTTTTAGAGCGTTGAAAAAGTCTTGGGAGGGGGAAGCATACTTGTTACGAATTTGGGGGCTGGAAGCATTTTTCCCTTTTGTTTATAGACAAACTTACTATTCTTCTAGTTTATCAAGTAATTAAGTAGATTGTCCTTACTAATCGTGATCGTGTTGCTGATAGTTATGATGGCATTTATATCAAGTTATTGAACTTATACAGATCCTTACATACCTTGTGTTTTCTATCTTAATTCATTTAAATATTCTCTCAATTTTGTTGTTATTGATCTTTTGGTTTTTGGTTTTTGGTTTAGAAATTTGAGGTTAATTTTGCAAATGTGTGAGGTCTGTACTTTTATCCAGACTTGTAAATGGTTCAATTATGAACTTGTCTGTCTTTGTTTATCTTTGTTTATGTTCCTATCTTTGTTAGTAAATTATCAAAATCCCCAACAAGTTTGCAAAAAGCTCCCAAAAAGTTTGCAAAAAGCCCACAATAGTTTAAAAAAACTCCTAAAAGTTTACAAAAAACACCCCAAAAGTATTATACATATATAGTTTTTATAGTTAAATGGGCAAATGGGCGACCCGTTTATTAAATGGGCGGGTAAAAACCCACCCATTTAAATAATGTTAAATAGGCCATAAATGGGTAAATGGGCAAAACATGTCCGCCCATTTATGGCCCGCCCATTTAATACACATACCCACCCATTTAACATCTCTACCCCCTGTAATATCGCCTGTTGTGGATAGGAGTTCTATTGTGGCGGGTTGACCC